CCCGTGCCCCGGGACTGTGCTACCGAGACCATGAAGAAGTTTGCTTCCACGCGCAGCCTCAATAAGATCCTGCAGCAGTGCGACTCCTCATCCCGCGAGTACGAGGAGATCCAGGCTGTGGAGAAGAAGTGGCACCTGCATCTGGCCACTCCTCGTAAGTTCCTGGACAAGAAATGCAAAATGCCGTCTCTCTTCCTTTCAGCTCCGCCGCCTCCCAAGAGAGCGCCCAGCACCACCCTGACGCTGCGTTCCAAGTCCATGACAGCCGAGCTGGAGGAGCTGGGTAAGTGGGCACCGCACCGGGAGCACGGGGAGTACGCAGGGCCGTGCTCGGAGCCAGGAGCATGGGGGGTGCACGGGGCCGTGCTCAGAGCTGGGAGTACAGGGAGCGTGCGGGGCCATGCCTGGAGCCAGCAGCGCCCATTTGCCAGCGGGAGCATGAGCACAAGGTGACGCATCTCCTGCAGTCAGGTGTCCATCATGCTCAGTGGCATGTGGGGCACAGGGGGGCTGAAAGCCCATCATGGGGGTGCTGGACCCCCCCATACAGGCAGCCCACCCTTTCAGTGCCGCCTCCCCGGCAAGGCTCTATGTGCCTGAGGAGCATCTGTCCATCCATTCCCTGCTCCTCCTGCACCACAAATGGCCCCTTGTTCCCTTTTTCCTCTCCCTGCCGAATTAGCTGCACACACATCCCCCCCCCGGCACTCCCCCCTTACACGCACACACGCCCGTGCACACACACTCACACGTTCTGCTGTCACTACAGAGCCAGCCCACGGTTCCAGATGCTTTGGTATCCCAGCTTCCATCTCCATGTTCCTGTATTCTCTTAAAGCCTCTCCACGCCCACCCCATCCTCGCTTCCCTGTGCCCTGTGCCAGAGCCTCTCAGTCTTCCCAGCTATCCTGGTGAGCTCACTGAGCCCCCACCTTCCCAGTAGCACTGGGCTCCCCCCAGTAGCATCACACTAGTGGAGAACCATCGCAGTGCCAGTGTTCACGCTGCTGCTGGCTGTGTGGATGGTGTTGCCGTGTGGAGACGTGGTGATGGGTGCACATGCACTCGCTGGCCATGGCGCAGGGGTTGTGTGTGGCAGATTCCTGTCCTGCCTGGCAGGAGGCCCCACCACCTCTCTCTTTTTTGGGGTCCACTCCCTGTCCTACCTGCATGTCTGGGATTTACAACCCTGCAGGGTTCTCCAGACTCCCCCAGACCTTTAGGGCTCTGGTTCATGCTCAAACATGGGTTTGAAGGGACAAATCTCAGCATTTCAGGGTTTGCATCAGCTGGTTGATGGCTACTGTGATTTATTTTATGCTGAGCCCACTGCTTTGATCTTCACCCTAGCCTGCTCCCATTTCTCCAGACCTTTATCCCTAAACCTGAAGGTGCTGTGTTTGCTGATAGCCATTAGGAGAGGCTTCAGAACAGCCTATTTCTTCCACTTTTTGCTTTTCCCTTTGCACGGACACTGCATAGACCCCAGGGTTCATGTTTTCTCTCTCAGTCGCTGGCCCTGAGAGCAGTTCCTGCTGGTTGAGGGTGGCTGCTTGCACACATGGGCAGCACGTTACACATTTCCCAGCTGCACGTGCCCGTCTGTGGTGAACATCGGGCCCCAGTCGAAGCCTGGTGCATGTCATGCAGGTGCCTTCACAGGAGGACAGGCACTCCAACCACTGGGACATGGCCATGGGGCAGCCCTGCATGCATGTTTTGGGAAGCAGAGCTGCTGGGCTCGAGTGGGGGGTGAGCTGGTGGAAAGGGAAGTCACAAAAAGCAGAGTACCAGCCCTGCCAGCGAGTCTATTAAAGATGAGTCTTCCAGGTCTCCCTGAGCATTCTGCAACTATTTGCTGCCTCTGTCCTATCTGAAGAGGGACCAGGAGCAGCAGCTGCCCATGTCTCCTGGTGGAGGGAAATTATAGATAGTGACTGGTCTTAGTCCATGGATTTTCCAGGGAACTGCAGTGGTTAGTCCCTGCCTCATGTCCTGTGGATCAGGGAGAGCTGTAGCCAGGCCCAGCAAAAATCCCAGGGAAAATGAGGGATGGTTCCTCCTCCCACCCTTTGTTTTCTGGTGTTGATCCTCCAGCTTTTACTGCCAAGGGGAAAGTTTTGTGCGGGTTCCCATCCCCACGCCTCAGCACTGCGCAGGGTTAGAGCCCAGTGTCCTCTTCTGAGGGGACAGTGGTGTTGGGAAAAGGGATATTTCTACCTGCAGCTTATTACAGGGAGCTTTGCCAGGTGGTCCCTGCCCCTTTTCCCTTGGATCCTGTCCCTGTCCTGCAGCTTGCAGAACATCCCTTGTGCCTGTAGCTATACCATAATGCTTTTTTACTGCGTGTTGTGCCAGTCCCCTTGGAAAAGCAGATTCCCAGGACGCTGCTAACAAAGCACTCCTGGTCCTGCAGTCCTGCCATTTGCTGGACGCTGAGGAAACTGGCTCTGAGAGACGCATGGATTGTGGTCTCCTGCCTCAGAGAGCAGAGAGGGTTAGAAAGCTTTTAAAAGAGTTTCTCCATGGCTTGGGTGTTAAATACTGTCCAGACCTTCTCCTGGTCATACTTCCTTCTGACATGGCACCTTCCCTCAGCTTTCCCAGTCCAAGGACAAGAAGGGGGGCTTGTCCCTGTGGTGGGGCTGGTGGAGAGCTGGTGCCAGTCCCTGCCCATGGGGCCTGGATGGGCACTGGGTTTACCTCAGAGGGGTGCGAGGAGGATGCTCGAGGTGCTGCTCCTCTGCCTTCATCCCCAGAGTCCCAGTGAGGCTGGGATGTATTCCTCTGCCAGGGCTGGATCCTGCAGCATGCTGGGAGGCAGGAGAGCATGCAGGAAGAGGCATGGCAGGCAGGCAGCAAGGCTGGAGCTGGGAATGAAAGCAGGAACTGTGCATGCCATTCATGTTGTCTTTTGTTTCTTGATTCCAAGCCTCCATGCGGAGAAGAAAAGGGGGTGAGTGAAACCAAACCACACATCCTGAGGGTCCTCCCTTCCCCTTCAGCCACCCAGGCAGCACCCAAACAGCACCACGCCACCCCACACCAGCATGCACAGTGCACCCAGGGCACCAGCGTCGGTCACATACCCTGGTTGTCCCTATTGTGTTGGGATCCTGCTGGGCACAGGCAGGAATGGCTGTTTGCCAGCCAGGGCTGACTTCCCCTGGTGGTGTGCTTGCTCTGTGTTTGCTCCACGGTGGAAATGCCTTGCAAAGCGACATCCCCACGTGTGGGGACCGAAGCATGGTCTCCTTCAGCCCCAGGTCAGGCCTCGAGCTCAGTCAGATAAAATGGCAGCCACAGTGTTTGCTGGGTCCAGCAGTGCAAGTGCTGTCTCTGCTCCTGCTGCCGCTCAGGCTATCAGCATAGAATCATGGAACCATGGAATGTTTTGTGTTGGAAGGGGCCTTAAAGCTCCTCCAGTTCCAACCCCTGCCACAGGCAGGGGCACCTTCCACTAGAGCAGGGTGCTCCAAGCGCCTGTCTCCAACGCGGCCGGCAGCCACAGCTTCTCTGGGCACAGGCTTCTGCCCAAGAGCTCATCTCAATCTCCCCTCTGGCGGGTTGAAGCCATTCCCCTTGGCCTGTCCCTCCAGCCCTTGTCCAAAGCCCCTCTCCAGGTTTCCTGGAGCCCCTTCAGGCACTGGAGCTGCTCTAAGGTGTCCCCTTGAGGAGCCTTCTCTTCTCCAGCTGCCCCAGCCCAGCTCTCTCAGCCTGGCTCCAGAGCAGAGCTGCTCCAGCCCTCACAGCAGCTCCATGGCCTCCTCTGGGGGAGGTGGATCTCTGAAAGGACCTCCCCAGACCTCTATACTGAGCAGATGTGCCAGTACCCAGAGTTGAGGCAATGCAGAGGTTCCATGGGTCAGAATGATCAGCTGGAGGTCACCAGGGATGTCCTGATGTTGAAGATGGCCATCTCCAAGTGCATGGTGGAGAGCTCTTGACACTTTGGACATGAGGCTGCACCCATTTCTGGGGGTTCCCTCTTGAATGTGTCTCCAGCACTTCCTCACCTCCCACCCCAGCAGCCCAGACAGGCAGGGTCTGCTCCTGGATGCTCTTCCATCTCCTGCAAGGGAATGGCAGGTACAAAGCGCAGTGAGTGGTGATTTCTCTCCCTGTGCTCTAATGGCATTGAGAGATGGGAAGTAGAGTTGGCCTGAGCTGTTTCTTTGAGTGGGTGCAGATCCTTAGCCCCAGGGCCTTGGTGGATACCTTCCCCCATGTGTGCTGGCCTCAGAGGGGACAAGTCCTCTTGGTAAAGACAACTTGGCATCAGTGTTCACATAGGGCTCGCCCCTCCAGACTGGGCTTCTGAAGCACCTGGGACTCTGTTGTAGTTCCTGTAACTCAGGTTCTGTAGCGGCTCATGAGTCCCATCAGCCCCTGGCAGTGTTGCAGGAGGAACACAGGCTGATGGTCACAGCACCCCAGGGCACACGGATCATGAGGACCAGCAAGGCCGCAGTCCCAAGTCCAACAGCCAGGCTGCAAGGAGCCCAGAAGTTGACATGCCTTAACCTGAACCCAGGCAGAGCAGAGAACATTGCTCATGTTCTCCCGTCTCCATGGTCTAGTGGAAGGTGTCCCTGCCCGCAGCGGGGGGGTGGAACTGGATGAGCTTTAAGATCCCTTCAACCCAAACCATTCCATGATTCTGTGGTTCCCTGGGCAGTTTACTGGGACATCATGTTGGTTGTGCCATGGAGGTGGAGGGATCCAGTCGTGACAAATGCCACGGCGGCCCCATCAGCTCCAGTGCAGCACCGTGAGGCCATGCTCCAGGGCCCGCTGACACATTTATGACTGAACTGGGCCTGTCCCAGGAGCTCCTGGAGCCGGAGCAGCCACCGCACCAGCCCCGCAGCCTGCATTAGCTGCATTGGACCCTGCCTGGCTTCGTCGGAGGGAGCTGTAGGGGGGTCAGTGGTGACAGGGGCCAGCATCTGCTTGTTGCCCTTCCCCATGTCCTGAGTTTGGGGATACTTTACAGTCCCAGGCAGAAAACCCCACAGCAGCCAGGGCTGGTGCTGTGTGGATGAGAGCTGCAGGCTGGTGAGCAATGAGGCACATATGTGGTGCACAGCTGAAGGGCCGGCCTCACTGCCTGAGCACCCTTGGACATGGGGTTGCACAGGAGCCACATTACTCCTGCTAGGGCCACTCGGGTGCATGAGTTCACTTGGAGAGGGAACATCCCAGTTAGTTCCAGGCAGACACTAGAGTCACACTGGTTGTGCTGGAGCGAGACTGAGTCCCTTGGAGTCCCATGGACTCTGGTGTTGCTTGTGTGGTCCCTGCAGTACTGGGTTCCCCTTGCCCACACCTCCCTCACCAAATATGGGGAACTCATTCTGAATATCAACAGCGTATCTGGGCAAAAATCTGCTCTTTTAATATGAGAATGGATGCTTGCTCAAAGCGTGGTCCCCTTGGGCACTGCCAGTCAGACCCCACAGCTCGGGCAGGCTGGGCAGGGTGCAGCCGGGGTGGGAACGCTGCACGACACGGCATGGCATGGTGCCACCGCACCAGGTCCCCTAGCTGAGCCTGGTTGTGCATCATGGTGGGTGGGTGGCTCCAAAACACCTTCAAAATCTTCATTAGCCGCTGGCTGGGGAGGGGAGAACTGACTGCGTCCTCACCTCAGTGCTCAACAAGCCTCGGAGCCACTCTCCCTCAAGGGGGTGACTCCTGGCTTGGCTGCACTGGAGGGACGGGGCTGTGGTCAGGGAGCTGCCTCAGCGCACAGGGCCTTGCTAACCCCTTGTCTTGTGTGTTTGGGTTTTCAGAGAAGCTGGATGAGATTCTGGCAGCTGCTGAGCCAGCGCTGAGGGCAGACATCGTCGAAGCAGATTCCAGGGCAGCCACTGTGAAGCAGCGACCAACAAGCCGGCGCATCACGCCAGCAGAAATCAGTGTGAGAGAGGAGGGCTTGTGGTGGGAGAATGGGGGCACACGGTGCTGTGACCAGTGCCCAGTGCTGAGTACCACCAGCACCACAGTCTGGGGTCGGGGATCAGAGGGAAAGCAGGAGGAGAGAGGCTGGGGGGAGG